CTCCTTCTCTTGCTCCGCCACGTCTTCTATCTCTTGAACGCTGTGATCTTCGAAGACTACCGTGTGTTGAGGCTCATCCTCTCTTTCTTTATCCTCGTTTTCCTTTTCCACGAACTTGACTGCGCTCGCTCGGATTATCTCGTGAGATTCGGGGGCGTATAGCCAGTAAATGCGGCCGTGTTCGTCACCGTAATTGAGAAGGTGGGCTTTGCGCGCTCGCGGGGTAAATTTGTCGCCTTGCTCGCGTTTTTGGGGTTTGATGTAATAGTAGGCGGTACACCAGTATTTTCGCAAGTGTTTGAGGTATGGCTTCTTTTGGTCTTTTGGTGAATTAGCGTGAGTATGAAGAAGTTCATGGGGACTCATCTTGTCGTTGTCTTTATTCGCTTTGGTTGGTAGGAGATTCATGACTCTGACGGCGGCGTCCATCACAAACGGCCATAGAACTATGGGAATCTTGTTCTCTTGGATGACTGTTCTGGTCTTTGTCATGATGAGCCGGCCAGTCAGTTCGGCTGGGCCATTCATCCATGGTGTGTGCGGTGTCGTTTTCCAGATTTCAACACCTTCTTGCTTTGCCCATTTATCGAGCTTACTGTTCTTGAACTCTGTTGTTGCCAGTCCAAACTCTGGCCCTCCATCGAGGCCAATGATACAGACCTTCAGACCAGTCTGAAGTTCTACGAACTTCTTCCATTCGACTAGTGCTTTGAAGGCATCGCCTTTGTTGACAACGAAACGAAACCATCTGTGAGCTGTTGCCATACAGGTGAAGTGAACCACGTATTTGACGCCCATATGGCCTGGTTGGTTATGGCTAGTCACGTCTACACGTACGTATTGTAGTGCCTTCTTTGCTGCTGTACCGTAGACTACCTTAGGCATTTTGTCGGTCATCTTTGATATATTGCATGCCTCACAGTCGTCCTCTTCTTGTCTGCTTATAGGAATACCTGCTTTCTGGCAAGCTTCGATGACTTGTTGTTTACCAGCGTGCATCAGTCGTTTGTGCATTGTTTTGTACGTTATCGAGGCCATTAGGGCCCTAGGGAGTTCACAGCTCTGGTCAAAGTTGTCTAGAGGTATAGTTGGAAGAGTAGGTACATTGCCTGCCCAACTACACTGCATCGTGTGTTTGCCGTACGAAATCTGGTTGCTTTTCATCATCCACTCCATACCGTTATCAAGAAGGCCAGTAGAGGTAATGAGATTAGCGGGAACGTCAGGACAGAACTGTACGTCCTTGATCGTCGCCCTTATTGTACCGTGATTTATTGTTGGCATGGTTAACTCCACTGTACCCACATGGTACGAGTATATGGAATTACCGTTGCCCACTACGTGTTCAGAAGGTTTGTTTAGTGGTCGTATGTCTGTGAACCATTTGAGATGGTTGAATATGCTAGTGGCACATCCAGAATCGTAGAGAACCTTGTCACGTGTATCGTCGTTATTATTGATGTTGTATACCTTGAGAGCCTGTTGGATTTTAGCGTTTGTATTGGCTACGGGCTCTACCAAAAATCCTGATTGCCATCAGAATCAGAATCGTCACGGCTTAATGCCATGAAGTTGTTGACACTACCGTACAGAAGGGAGCTCTTTGATGAGGGATGGGTAAGGCCATTGTTCGTGTCAGCCGTGGCTGCAGCCGTGCCAGCGGACTTGGCTTCCATCAATTCTTTCTTCTTTCTCCATGTATCTGGTGCCTTCTCTGGGTTGCACATCCAGCAGTCTGGGGTCTTTGGATTCCTGTGATGGCCACAGTCAAAGTGTTTGTGGCCTTTGGTGATGTCCCTGTTGCACGTGGAACACTTCTCTGTCTCCCTCTTCTTGTCCTTGTTGTCTTTACCGTCTTTGCCTTTATCGTTTGAGTTGTTCTTGTTGGTATTGTTGGTATTGTTGACTTGTATAGAGACACTGAGGGTTGGATTACGTTTCTCGCTGTTGCCGATAGTGCTGAGCTTGCCCAGGAAGACTGGAGGTAGGAGTGTCTTCTTCTCCATATCGACTGCCCAGAGACGAGCTTCAATGGGGTATCGATCTCTGACCATGTTGAACAGAATCACCATCTCGAGTTCATCGTCAATCTTGAGGCCCGCGTCAGCAACTCGCTTGCGGCACACGTTGTATCGTGACAGAAATGACTCCATGGTGTCAAATGATTGTCGTTTAAGGGACAGGTATTCGTGAAGTACATCTGCCCTGGCCTCGTCGGTGACTTTCGCGATTGCCTTTTGAATTAGTTGGAAATGATAGCTGGGGTCTCGATTCTTGGGGTCCCAGCCATTGATCTGTAGTATGGTTCTGATATTCTCGGCTTTCAGGGTACTGTGAATGGCGGCAACTGCTCTGGCTCTGTTGGCTCGCCACGTCTCGTACTTCTCTGAGTCCTTGTCTTTCGGTTCTGGTTTGTCTTTTGGACTAAAGACATAGTCTGTGAGGTTGGCGCAGTCCAGTGCGACCCAGAGAGCTGACTCCCAATCACCCAGATTCTTTTCGCCTTTCAGTTGTATGAGGGTTGCCGTGTCGGCTAGGTTGTTGTTGGTTGTCATGGTTACGAGAGTAAACGACGGGGTTTTGTTATGGGATTGATTGTGACGGTTGTCTTGATAGATAATCCTCACAAGGTGTCGGTAGATCGTCGACTTGGGGTATCAGGAAGCTCGTCTGATTTGGAGGGGTTGTCAGGGCGAGAATCGCGTCGCTGACTTGTTGTTGTTGTTGGGAGGTCGCGTCGATTAGCGTTGCGACAGAGGGCTCATAACCTATGAGGTGGATCACGAATGATGGGAATGATGTAGATTGAGGGATCCAGCTTACTGAGGCTGGAAGGGATCGCCAGCTATATAGAGCTGGCGATACAAAGAGGAGGAAGGTCTGCAAAGGAGGGGATTCTGGGAAGTGCCAGAACCGCTGTCAAAGGGGCCTGCAGGGCAAAGGACTAGCGGTCTGTGCAGCAAACGCCCAGAATCTTCTCACACAAAACGGCGGGCCAGGACGGCGCGGCAGGACTCGATGTGAGCCCGCCCCATCTGGATTGTTAATTTGTTGCTCGGCTGCCCCTGTAAGACGCAGGTACGTACCCAGTCGGGTCAAGAGTCGCTGCGACAGACAGGCTGGCATCAACGGCATGGATGTCGGGTGTTATTTTTTTCATTTGATGTTTTTTTGGTTTTTGGTTGTGAGCCCAACCCTTGACCGAGAAGAGGCCACCACTGCAGCATCCCCTGTCAGCCCAGACAACCAGGTAGAGGAAGAAGACCGGCATGAATGATGATTGGCAGTAGTGTAGTTGCCTGTGATGAACTACCGTACCCGGCACCAGTCAACCGCACAACAACGCATCGTCTTTGAAACAGCCCATATCGCTACTGTGTGGAAGAAAAAAGGCAACCATGGTGCCTCCTAGGTCCGTTTCTTACTCATGGCCCGGCGCCATGGTTCTTCTCAACCGAGCGTCTGCTTACCGTGCCGTCCGGGAGCAGGAGCGGTAATTATCCGGGCAGGTGGTACGAACCAAGACACAGTACATCGACACGCCTACTTGTTTTTGATGAGCCCGTGTACTCGTCCGGGCTTGAAGCACCTCTGACAGCGCGACCGTTCCCCTTTCTTTTTCACCAGTGGAGATTGTGGCGTCCAGTGATGTTCGTTCGCAGGCTGCGAGCCGACCTTGCAGGACAGGTACGACCCTGAAGTGCCACTGAATGCGTGGTTGCCCGTCCCCACAGCAACAGCAGGACAAAGACTGACCCGGCTGACAGGCTGACCGGGGAACCACCAGATGATTGTCTGTATTGTGTATGCCGTCTCGAATCCCTCTGACATGACTTCTCTGGTGAACACGGTGGCTGAAATTCGCAATGAGACGATCGGTAGTGGTGGTGGTGTGAAGTATCAACAGGAATGGATCTCTCATCCCATCATGCCACGCGAGAAAGAAACTTCCTTTTTTTTTCTCCGCTTTCACTTTCTTTCCCTTTCCTTCTTTCCCACTCTGGCCGCCCTACAACAACAATTTCCCAATAATCCGTCGAAGCCTAGTAATGATTGTTTTTGGAAACGTGAAGACATCGACAGCAATACAGAGAAAAAGCAACTCGATCTGACTTCGGGCTGTCTTGTCAACTTACCTCAACTACTTGGTATGATGGGTAAGTTAAATTACACGGGTAAGTATAAAACCATAGGCGTTCGTGCGGAAAGGTACCTGACAGATTACTTCGGCCCTAGAGCACAGCTCTCGAGCACAGCAAACGGATTATTCGCCTGATCCTCGTATTACAGTTTTGCGGGAAAATAAATTCCGACACACAGATTGGCAATGGCTCACCGCTGGAATGAGGGAGGATGGGCACAAGAAATCAGATTGACCACTACAGTGGGAGCAAGACATGCATGACGATACTTGTACCCGAGTACCGGACTACACTGACCCAGTCTTGGCACACTTGCCCCTGATGTCTGACCTTCAGCGGGGTCTGGCTTTCTGATTTCCGCTAGCCGGCAGAGGTGTAAGTGCAAGTGCGCTCTGGAAAAGAAACACAGAGCCGGCGCGCTACGATTCCATTGGCCAACCCACCTTTTCCCACTTGGAGTGAGGCTCTGATCGACCTCGGGCTTGATCAAGCTTCCCATGGCTGGCCGCCTTGCCCCTGCCCGTTCTCGTGAAACCAAACCGTACTACACCTATTGGTTGTCGATTAGACCACCCTGGTCCGGCTTATTGACAGCTTCAAGCTGGATTCGCACCGCAATAGCATCAGCGATACACATCAAACTCCTCGAGCAACTTACCAGCCGAAGATTAATCCGTCACCTGCAAGGTACAATTAAAAAGATCCAAATTTATGGTACGTACCTGCAGATATGGAGCCCGCATCGTTGACTTCCCTTCGTGGGAATGGCATTTGCAGTCTCTTTAAGTTTATATATCGTGTACCTCCCAACTTTTCTCTCTCCACCGTCCTCGACGAAACCCCCGACACGCTCTCACGATGTCGCCTAACCACCACCTCCCCTTCGCCTTCCAGAAAGGAGGCAGCATGCCTGAGACCACCCCGCCAGGTGATAGCGGCTCCAGCCAACAGGCCACATACAGTCCACCAACTCTTAGCGGCGTGGGTGCTCAGTTTCCCCATGAAGGCCAATTCCCGTCAATGTATGACTCAGCACCTGTCCCCTTGTCTGGTCAAGAGCAGGTTCCTCCTTCCATGCCTGTCGAACACCAGGAGACACACACCGGTTATCAGCAGCGCGAAATGACGATGATCCGAGAGGAGCAGAGTGGGCATGCTATGGCTACAATGCAGAGCTTGCAAGGAGCAACAAACTTCTACTCGCCATCTTACCTCGATCACGTCGATGCTGAAACACGATATGCCTCTGGCTTCGTCCAATTCAGCCAACCCGGATCCTTCGGACGTCAAGAGCCAGCAGGCACGCTGCACTCTTCCATCGCTCCAACTGCCATCGCATCGAGCCTGCCTCACCACGGCGGAGCGAGAGCGTTCACGTCCACGCAAGGCCGTCGGGAGGCCCCGTGGACAGAGCGGCACACCAACGTTCTCCGCCAAGGCAAACGAGCGGGTAAATCGGTCCCAGCTATCGTCAGAGATCTTTACCACATTGACGGCGTAGAAAGAACGCCCAATATGGTGTCGAAGAGATGGGGGAAGATAAGAGGAGGTTGTGTCAAGAAACACGTAAGTACTTACCATATCATATTCACCCAAGCCCGATGTCAGCGACCATCTATGCACAGACGGGGCACCGCTGACATACCAATCCCGCATTGTAGGAGATGGACGCGATTCTCCACGCCGTGTGTCCCGAAATGGTCGACAAGGTCTATGGCGAGCTGTCCAATCTCGATATTGCCCGTGCGCCGGACTTTTGTGGCCAGCTGGCCGCATCCGAAAACCGGGCGAGGGACATCTTGCGGCACCACGTCGCTAAGGGCGTGCAGGAAGTCGTTCTGAAGCTCTTCAGCAACGACGTCTTGCACGCCGAGTAAACGCGATGCTCGCCACGAAAATCCGATCTTGTCGCTTGTTTTGTTTCATCTTGGGGAAGATGTACTTCGTTCCATATTGCCGCGTCATTTCGTTGGGTTGTAGGACGTTGTCGCGGCGCCGTTTTGTCGCGGCGTCGTATCAGACCACTGTGTTACTTCGTCGAGTCGAGTCGTCGCGCCGAGCCCTCCTCTCACTGTCGAGTCTCGGTATGGTTTCCATCCTCTTGTACCTGCTTATCTAGTTTTGCCCGGCTAAGTTAGCCAATGATCAACTATTTTGCTCTCGCCCAACTGACCTGACAACGCGGTAAAATATGACGGCGCCGTGCTTGCTGAGACGTGCCGACGTAGTCTAGATGGTACTGCGTGAAATCGACTGCTGGTATTGACGTGGCTGAGTCAAGCCACTTGCTGAACCTTGGAAAACTCAATTGTCGGGCTTGGAGCCATCGAGAATGCCAGAAGAGATGGATGTATAGGTGAAGGAAGCAATAACGAAGACCCAACCACTGCCCGAGGGGATAAATACGATGTCGAAAGCGGGGGGTGGCCCGTGCACCAGTGAGCACTAACAATAATCCCATAGGCAGGCTCGTCAGGGCGAGAACGAAGGATCACCCTCCCATATTTTGGACCTTCCACTTTGCAAGAAACAATTTTCTTACTTATGGCACGGGAGAAATCGATGTCCTTTGTCCTCGGTTGGAGGGCCACTGGGTCAGCTTGTCCATTTTCCGGCTTTCAGTATTTATGCAATTACGCATACATCTATCAACTGAGCCGCTTCCTATCAGTTCGGAATTACCCTTACCTCCTCGTCCGGCCAAAGTGCTCAATCCATCGGGTCGCCGAACCCCGACCGGCATTCAACCGACTCAGGCCTGGTATATCGTTGATCATGGAGCAATCAACTTCCTTCATTTTGTCCAGTTTGCCCTTACAGCCAACGTCACTTGGTCTTTTAGACCTGACGAGTACGAGGCTTTAGCGATCACCAGCGCGCATTCCGGCGATCGAGCCGGCGGCCAATGATTGGTTCCCATACGCTGCCATCTGCATGGCCTCAAGCCAGGCACGAAGCCGGCACCATGCCAGCCCCCACGTTCTTTGACCTGTCTAACACAACATCGTTCCAGATCTGACTTCATGGCTTCAAGCCGGCTTCATGACCCCGACCTTTCACCGACAATGAGCTCAAAGCTTGCCAGCCCGGGCTTACGGTAAAGTCCCAAGGCCAGATTACAGCTGAAGACCACGAGTTCCCATGAATGAGCCCGTCGTCTGTCGACATCCCGCAAGCACACAAGGTGTTTCGCGTTCTGGAAATCATAATTCTCCGCCAATCACGGTGTTCTTAAAGCGAAATGCTAGGCACCGACATTCTCCCTTGAGGTTTCACAGGACACTAGCCGACTTGAGGCCGAAATCCATGATTCATAATTACCTGTACCGCTTTTCAACTTCCGAATACATCAGTGAGTATGAAGAGTTCTTTGAGCTGATTTTTGCTGTAATAGGTTTCAATATGCGCTTCACAATGACGTGAGCTCTTTTGAGTTTCGGGTATGAAGCTTTGGACTGATGAGTATTGCGGGAAGTATAATAACCATGACCCTCTACCCTTTTCGTTTTGTCTCTCCTCGATACCCATCATTGTAACTCATTCTTTCCACCTGGCCGAATGCTTGATACCTGTCTTCTCTGTCGAAGCATCAGAGAATGACTCCTTTTTCATAAACCGCATCCATCATGTCGAACAACCCTTTTCACCAGGTGAGCGCACTTTATCCACGGCAAATCTCTTGGGAGTTCATTCCATCCCTAGCGAAGGAGAAAAACTGACAGCATCAAGTTGCAGCTCCCAAAAGTACAATCTTCACCCAATCACGAAATGCCTGAGCTAACCAGGCATGATGAAGACGGCACCTGCGAACAACCTCACAAATCGATAATGGCAGATCCGCCTCCCCCGAGCCTTCATAACAACTCCGTCCAAACTATCTCGCCTTGTCCTTCCAACACGCATCTGACCGAAAACTCAAAGTCGTTGACCTCAAACATTCAAGAACAACTTCCCTTCACCCCCGAATGCGACTTCGAGGTAGAGGTCTTCCGGCAATGGAAAGCCGGCCATCCAGCCTACCAACAACTTCTTGCGCCTAGCGGGGAGATCCACCATACCGCCGCATGTGACTGGAATAACACTGCTACTTCTCCAGGTCAAGCATGCACAAGCATGACGGATTCCGGCGTGGACTTCACGGTGCCGCCACAGTTCCAGGACGCAACAAACCAAGAATGCCCCTTGCCGTCCACCGTCCTCCAGGTCTGCAATAACCCCGACCAGTGTGCGTTGTCGCCCGACATGGTTGAAGCCATGCAGCGGTTTTCTGTGGCGCACATCTGTGAATATGAGCAAGCGAAGAGACTGCTTGTTGATAAGGTACGTTGTTGATGAGTCCCGAAAACGTGAAATGGCGAAGTATTGGCTGACAACCGTGATGTTCTCTTCCAGATCGTCAACAAGGTCTTGCAGAATGCGGCCCCACGTATCATGGCATTGCTTGAGGAAGAACTCCAGAAGAGAGAGGAGGAATTGGATATGGAGATGGGTGAGTATGAGGAGGATGTAGACTCGAAATTGGAGTCGAAGCTCTGATGGTTCTACAATACGTTTTTATCGCTGTGTTAGTCTGCTTTGCTGGCTTCATGTTTTTGGCTTTCATACTAGTACATCGAGGTATCGTGGGATGTGGACTTCAATGGTTCCTGTGCCAGTTATTACTACATCTTCCGCTTTTCAATGCAATTTTCGAACTGTCACTTTGCTTTCATATGGACTACTCAGCTGCCAAAAAAAGATTACGATAACTCAGCAACGGGATTGGCCCGGTTTGACTCACAGTGCAGTGTCCGCAATGCCAAGCTTTGGTGATAGCTTCACGTTTTCAACGTAGGGCATTCGCATGTAATCATCGCTTAACATTTAGACCGCCAGATAAACAAAATACCTATCAACCCTGGACGGCTATTTCACCAGTTGCAGGACCTTAATGACCCTGAGAGTGTTGGCCGGTCGTGCCTTGGCCTTGACGCCCATTCACTGGCACTTCCGTCTGGCATTTAAGCAAACTAGGATTTCCCTTTTCTTCTATCTGTCTTAACACAATCACAACAAAGCCGTACTTCTGTTACCTGAATATAACAGAAAGCTGTAGCTGTCGAGGGTTCTTGATAGGTGTTTTGTTGTTGGCAGTGAGTGCCCATAGGGATGAACCCTGCAAGAGGGGCAGCCGCTTTTACCCTTGTATCTCTTGCCTAAAGTGGATGTTTAGGCCTGAATTGCACGTTCCTATTGGGCAACTTTAAACCACCAAATCAGCGGGGCAAGCAGGGGTACCTGGTATCGTGCAGTTCACCACGCTTGGAAACCTGAATCTTTTACGTTGTTGACAACAACGGTGACCTACATAATTATTGATTATTGGTATATATAGGCATAAAGTTATTTGGAAAACTCGGTTACGTTATAGAATGGGAGTTACCAAGATAGAATTGGAGGGCCATCTCAGTAGCCAGACAGGCGTTGGGCGGACTTTAAAGTCGCTACATGTGCTCTTCAAGGACTGCAGGTTGAGCTAAAGGTCTGAGGGCAGGAAATGGGTGTCTAAAAGTGCGTGAAGATCAATGACAAGCATATTCGAGGTTGATAAGAAGGCATTTTGAATAAGGCACTCATTTACGTATACAACAAGATACTAGTTAAGGCAGGTAGGTAGCGTGGGATGTGCCCGGGCCGTCTTAGCCGCGCAGGGCTGCGGGCCGTGCCGGTGTTGATTTAGCGGCGCTGAACTCCCTCTGTTACCGCCAGGGCGGCACCGTTGCACTTGTGCACGGCCCGGGTACGCCCGCCTTCCATTCCCACAACCACTTCCATTACACAGTACCTCTACCTGATAGTTACCTGGAGCGACGAGGCACAATCCTCGTCCAAGCAACAAAAATGTCAAGGTCGGCGTGATTGAAGCCTCCTATTAAAAGGACAATGTTAGTATGTTAGCTGAGAACCATCACATGCATAATCCAAGGGCAATAGGGCGGTATGTGCTGAAGCTTCTTATGCTTTTGCACCGCAGCTAGCATTAACAGGATGTAGCGAGCAATGCCCCTGGCGGGGTTGATTACCCCGCATTCAGTCCCGGCGACGCACAAGGAAGCCATTGCATATCCACAACCTCGCCTATCAACAACAATCTTTGTTATCCCAAACATCACGAGCACCGCAATCCCAGTGCAGAAACCAAAACGCGAAAGACCTCTCGAATGTTCCCTAGAGTCCACGATTAGTTGCCGGTATACCGCACGTCCGGTGGTGTTTCTTCAAACCTCCGTCAACAAAAATGTCTCTCGGGTTGCGTCAGGCCCTAATACCACCCGATGCCCCAGACCCGAGGCAGGCCCCCTAGAGGGACGGAATAAACAGATGGAGAACAGCCGTGACGAAAGATACCGATTCATTGAGAAGGAGAAAGGGGACATACTGCAAGGGGGAGGGTCAACCTTTATACCCGCTTAGGAGAGTGATACGGCAATACCTCTTGTTGACCGCCCACCCGTTCCAAGCTTCCTGACTATGACAGGCGAATCAGGATTGCAGAATAGGGTGGATAAGGATTTAGGCTCCTTTCCCATTCGGATCGTCTCCTCGAGACCAAGATACAAACCTGGGGTCTTGCCTTGATTGAAGAATCCCCAATGAGTTGCAGAACTTGTTCCAATGGAATACGTACCTGCTTTGGCCATTTTGCTTCGATGGCGGCTCTGCTCTGCTTTGGGGCGCGTTCGAAATTTCGCCGCACGAATCCAACCTGTTGATCCGAGTACAAAGGCCAAATCGACTGGTACTGGCTGGTATCCTTCCTTGGCGCCTTGGCTGTCTACCGTATAAACTCGATTTTTCAAACGGTGTCAACTTTTTGGTAATCAAAAAAGAAGAACATCAATCGATAGAGGATATTTCAGAATATCCAAAAGCAATCTTTTTAGGAGATGCATCAAAAGGTGGAGTGGAAGCGTTGACCTTTGAAGAAAGGCGGCGCTTTTCCCGATCAACAGCAAAAAAGCAGCTTTTTGTTGTGTATCGCGATCAACAACTCTTGGCAAGTTTTTTAGGAGCTGATTGGCTATATGCAGCCGTTAAGCTAAATGTAACCTTCTGTTGGAGAAATATTGGAGAAGGTACTTCCTGAGCTTTTGAGTGTCTTCCTGCAGTGTGATCACACTGCAGATTAACAACAGGGGTCGATTTTGTATGGGAATCGGATTCGTGCGTCGAAATTTCGAACGCGCCCTTGATTAGGCATCACTCACTCATATTAGGATGTCTCAAATGTCGTATGATCAGGCCCGGCCGCTTTTGAACAATGACTGGAATACCGATATCTGAACGGCTTTTAGCCATACTCTTACACCGAAATGTCATAAAAGCAGCGGACCAGGCTTCATGGTATAGAATTTGCCACACCCGGAAAAAAGTATCAGAATACCGACGGCGTTTATTATTGTCGGTAGGGCCGACATTGCAGGTGTGCCAAGCCCCTGACATCTGACCCAAACCAGTTCGATTTTAACACCAAGCATTCGAGTCTGAAGAAAAGTTTCGCAACAAAATTGCCCTCCGGGTCTTCCTTTCCTCGATTCCTCCGTCCAGCACGTTCTATCTGGACCCTAGTTCAAGACTGGACCTACCGGGGTAAAGACTTGCTCCCCCGACGTCAAATTCCGGATGGCTAGACTTCCGAACCCGCCAGAACTGTAATGGTCAAGGTAGACGACGCCATATTACATATCACACTCGCATTGCAACCTCTAAAGGGCCCGGATGAGAGCGCCGGTGACGGCAATTGGATAGCCTTGTTCGTGATCGCCGCCCAGTATTCTGATGCTTCTTGTATCGACAAGGAAAAACTTGCGCCCAGGAACGCCAGAGTTGCTACGCCCCAGCCGGGTATGCAACCCCTGTCTGTCTTCCACAAGGTTCCTAGGATAAACTCGCACCAACGAGTCTGGTTTGACCAAGCCCTATAATCTCTTTTAGAGATTCAAGATCGTCGCAAATAACATCAGGCACCTCGACGAGAGTGGTTAGTTCTTGAAGGTTAATTGGTCGACGAGCAATTGCGGCAACGGCAAGAATGCGCTTGTAGAGATCGGAATCCTCGGACCGGCTCATGTTCTCTCTCATCCGCGTATATAGAGCATCCAGCCCGGACGGAAATTTGCGTAGCATTTCTTCGGTACGCCATTTCTTAACCTCCGGGCCTGCAAGTACTTGGCAGACCAACGCCACCCAGAGGAACGTGTCCTGCGCGTTGGAGCACAGGTAGTCCTGAACGGTCTTTTTTGTCCTTGGATCATACTTCTTCAGCCCTGCTAGGTCATCCACCTTGTGCAGGATAAATGCATTGACAGCCGCTGCGACGGATTCCGCATTTAGCTCCAGGGAGACCTTCACTTTATCTGCGGCTTTCTCCAACCGTTCCTCAATTTGCGGCCAATTACGGCTTGAGACGATCCACTTGACTCGAGATCCAGATGATGATTGCTGAGCAATGAAGTCGAGAAGCTGTGGCAGGTCTGTTGTAACGCACTCGTCGAGGGAGAGTCTTCTTGTGCCTTAACGCTGCCTTAATGTTGCATGAGTGCAGCTGTAGACCATACGCGTTATTGCGACAAGGCCACCTATCATCCATCGTCCTTGTCCTCCGCTGACGCATGTATTGTCCCGCGCTAAACGCAGTCAGCCGAAACTTTTATTTCGGTGAGGTTAAAAGAAGCAATATGGTGAGCAAGTGATTTTCCAACGGCCTCCAACACCATTCACAGTATGCACGTGCCCTATTTATAAGCCCGTCTTTTTCCTTGTCTGCCTTGACTTAAGTGCATGCCTGAGGAACTAAGCAGATCAAGCCTGTCGTCTGTTATACTCTAGCAATGTCAAGGAACGCTAATACTGCACGCGAAGCCCAGAGGCCACCACGCGTATCACAACTACTTCAAGCATGGCTTCAAGCCAAGCACCTCGCCATCGCTACCGCCATATGCTGGGGGTTGAGTGGACGGACGGTATGGTGGGATGGCTTTAAGCCTGGGTGGGGGCCCGTGTCAGCACCTCCGCCCCCCTGGCATACTTGCATGGGCTTGGCTCGAAGCGAGGCTGGAAGCCTTGATATCAAAACAAACGCTACCCGAAGTGAACCCTCTGGTTACCTTTTTGACATGTCCTCCATTGTAGCATCAAAGCTGCATTTGATCCTTGAAAGACGAAAAGTTGATATGGCACGCTGACATCAGGCTTGATGTAAAGGACGTCGCCAATCCAACGAGAGAGAAGAGAATGTGTTATTCTTGGAGAAGAGGGTAAAACAATGTGTAGATGTGTGTGTGCTATCGAGAGAAGACTAGAACAAAGAAGGAAAAGAAATGTGGAGGGCTAAAATACAGAGAGGGTGTGAGGGCTGGACCCACACAACCAGGGTGGGACAGGCCCACCCGACAACAGTTACGCCTTTTGAGGCAGTGAAATAAGCTTTTGATAACCGCCATTGTCTGGCTTTGGCGAGCATTGGCAGTGAAAATGAGGAGAAGGAGTAGTCGGGACCAACGTCGAATGACGGAGATGATATTCAAAGACGCCTTGCCCCGGTCCAGAAACGTCCAGATGGTTGGCATTGGACTAGGCATACGGTTGGGCATACTCATGTTGAAATGAGGGGGCTCTGCGATGCAAGAACAGGTGTCGGCATGTCGAGAATGATTGGTTTCTCTTGGCTATGATATGTGCACCTTCCTTTCATTTGCCAGGCTTATTGCATGAGCTCTTTCCCATCGGTCTTGCATTCATATCCATTTGGTCAGGTGCTGACCGCTATCCAAGAATCCACCAATCGATGGCGCTATATACATTAGCTGGGGCCTTGGCATTGCTTACTTGCATGTCCGTTCAGGGAAGCCCGAACAGTGAGGCTGAGCAGAGGCCTCGGTGTCCCCCCTCCTGCATTTGATAACGCGGATAAAGTGACCGTATCTAACCTAAAGGAGATGTGCACTCAGTGAACCGCTGTTTAGCGGGTCAGGACACTTTGAAATGCTTGGTCTCTCAGAAAGCTCCGGCTCTTTCTGGTAGCAAAATCAGAAGAAGGGAAGACAACTCCAAAGCGAGCGCGTTGGACTTTCCTCCCTTCGGAGTCTCGCACGTACTTGCATGCATGCTTGGTGCAGTGAAGACCCGGAGGAAAGAGCGTGTGGATGTTGCTGGTTGATGTTGCGAGATGCATCTCCTTTGGGTTTGGGTACTGTCATTTTACTCGATTATACCGTCACTATATCCGTGTGGGCATTCGACGCTTTTCCTTTCTTGATCGGGTAACTGGGCTGTACCTAGGGTAGTATGCCCAACGTTCTCTGCCCGGCACAACGTGAATGTTGACTGATGTCTTCTGCTGTCAATTCTCGAGACTGGACATTCGCGTCGAGCCGGGAGGCTCTGCCAGGTACATCTCGACTTCAATTACTCCTCGCCTTCAATAGTTGATCCGCGTTTCTGCCTACTGCTGTTTGTCGGACATCTCATCCTCCGCCCACCATTGGGATCCTCCCCATCACGAACGCCGTTGTCGATGCAAACGCTTGCTAGTTGACAAGAGTGGTTCTCATCAGCGCGTCGAGCACGATGGCTGCACCAGCAGGAGCGGGCAATGAGCGGACCTACTCCCGTCCTGCAAGCCGGGACGACTTCGAGATTGCGATAATCTGTGCACTTCCCCGCGAAATGGATGCCGTTGAGTTGCTCATCGATAAATCCTGGACGGACGAGGTCGACCAAAACCAATACGGAAAAGCTGCAGGGGACACGAACACCTACGAGCTAGCGCGGATCGGAAGCTTCAACGTAGTACTTGTTACCCTTGCCAACATGGGAAAAGTTGAGGCATCCGCGGCAGCACAGTGTGTCGCTACAAGTTACCCGAATATCTCCCTAGTCCTCTTGGTCGGTGTCTGTGGCGGCATGCCTTTCGCCAATGTCGGAGGGGAACGCGAGGAAATATTCCTTGGCGATGTGGTCATCAGCAGCATCGTGAATCAATACGACTATGGAAGACAGCTACCTGATCGTTTTCTCCCCAAAAGCGACGTCGAGGATACGCTCGGCAGGCCAAACAAGGTACTTCGGAATCTGCTCAGGAGCTTCGAGAAAGTGAGAGCTCGCGATAAGTTGCAGAGGCAGGCAGCTATCAACCTGGTGCAGCTTCAGGAGAGCAGCCGCCAGAACCCCCGATATCCCCGATATACATACACAGGGACAGACAATGACAGACTGTTCGAAGCCTCATACGAGCACAAGCATCACAGCCCTGCGTCAAGGTGCCTTCCTTGCGCGCAAGGATTGATTTGCGAGTCATCCAGGAAAACTCCGTGTGATGATATTGGTTGTGATACCAAATATTTGGTTAAGAGAAAGGGATGCGGTCAACCCAACCAGCCCATGGTCTTCATAGGGCGTGTGGGGTCAGCGGATGCTGTTGTTCGTTCTGCCAAACACCGCGATGCTCATGCCGAAAATGGCATCATCGCCTTGGAGATGGAAGGTGCCGGGGTCTGGGATGTGTTACCTTGCCTCGTCATCAAAGGCGTGTGTGACTACGCTGATAGCCACAAGAACAAAGGGTGGCAGGGTTATGCTGCGGCCACCGCTGCGTCAGTTGCGAAGGCATTTCTGAACTGCTACCAAGGGACTGGAAAATTGTCTGGGAGGGCAAATGCCGCGCAAGAAGCTATGGTTGACCGAAATCAACACCAGCCGCCCTTTTCCAATCTTTCATTCCAGGCTGATGATGGATTCATCGAACGTGGTGACATCACGGACTGGTTGCAAAAAAAGCTTGACAAACCAGGGAGCCGAGCTGCATTGTATGGATTTGGGGGTGTAGGGTATGTGTCATCATCAATCCCCGGCACACATGAAAACCAACTTCCTTGTGGGATGCACAGGAACTAACGTTTTGGTGACCAGAAAGTCACGACTTGTCATTCAATACGCGCGGATGATGGAACAAGAACCTTCGAAACCGCACATCTTCTGGGTACATGCGGGGACCAGAGAGCGTTTTATAGACGCCTATCGTGAGATTGCAGATGGACTGAAGCTTGAGGGTCGTGATAAGCCCGACGTAGACATACTGAAACTGGTATGCAACGGGCTCCGCCATGAAAGCAAAAGCTGGCTCATGATCGTCGACAACGCCGACAATATCAACTTATTTTTTGCAACGGACACCCATGGCCAGCTTACCGGAAATGGAGCCGCTTCCTCAACGGGGGCAAAAGGTCTTCTGCCGTATCTCCCTCGTACGGACAAAGGCAAAATATTGATCACAACGCGGAGTCAACAAGTTGCCGAGCTCCTAGTAACGCAAGTTACGGAAGACCTGGAGAGTATTCGCCAGGTAACGGCAATGGAGAATCTTCAAGCAAAACAGCTTCTACGGAAACGGCTCGGGAAGTACCATGACGACAAGATCGAAGAGGACCTGGTCAATGTCCTCGATTGCATTCCCCTCGCAATCATCCAAGCTGCGGCATTCATCGTCTTTCGGTCTCGCAACAATGTATATTCCGCTGCCGAATATCTTGAACAATTCAGACGAAGCGACGACCACAACCTCGAGCATCTTGACTTCCACAAAAACATCAAATTAGGCGATGAGGAGGCATCACACGCGGTATTGAGGACATGGACTATGACGTACGAACAAATTAAACAAGAACGGAGCTCGGCCGCCAACTTACTATCTGTACTAAGTTTCTTCCACAACCAAGGAATACCGGAATGGGTACTCGAGAAGTACTATGATCGCTATCAAATGTTCCATAGCGACAGATCCCTGCCTCAGGATAGCCCAAATCCTCTGCATAAGGATCTTGACGTGTTGTGCGGGTACTCTCTCGTCACTGTGGTGTCCTTTCCTGGGAACCAGAACCGCCAGCAGCCAACTTCCCGCTCCCTTCAGATGCACGCCTTGGTACAAACTTGTACTCGCCACTGGCTGCGGTCCAACAAAGTTAATCAGCAGTGGCTGTCCACCGTGACACAGCTCTTGAACACAGCACATCCAATTCCCGCTAACGAAAACTGGGCAGGGTGTGCAGAGATCTCTCCGCATGTTGATTCTCTGCTTACATTCCCTGGGCTTGAGCGACTCGATGAAAAGCATACTACCTGGCTGGTTGACTTGCTTATCTCTGCAGCGTGGTACAATACTGATATCGGTACCCTGGGGAGAGCAGAGAGCTTGATCATGCAAGCGCTAGACGTTGCTGAGAAACGGCTGTGCAACCCGCATAGTGAGATCTACCTGTATCCGATTCTCTTGTTACTGGGCAGAGTGAGCTTCTACAATGACACACTTAAACCCAGATTTATGTCTGTAGCGAATCGATATCTTGCAAGTCTAATAAACTCGCTGACAACCCCTTCTGAAGAATTCGGCTCACTTTATACCTACATGCAGACAAACCCGTCTGCGACCGTTCCGATCACCTCAGATCCCGATGAGCACACCGAGCAGCATAACAGGGTTATTATGTCAATTCAGGGCATGAAGTCATCAGGTTTCGACAACCCTACTGTGCTTGAAGTGGGTCATCTTGAGCGCTTTATCTTGAATGCACCTTTCTGCGGCTCAAACGCACATGCCTTCGAAAAAATTGACAAGATCATAACCGTCCTCGAGCTTTTGAGGAGATTTGAAGACGAGAAAATTCTCTGCCGTGCACTTTTGAGGCGGCAATGTGAAACGCGCTTGAATGAACCGGATGTGGACGATTTCACACTCAGTCCTTCTTGTGAGGGCTTAGAAGAAACAGTGGACAAGCTTTGCAACGTTCTGATTGTGCAAAACAAGTACGGAGAAGCAGAAGACCTCTTGCGAATGCTTATATTATCAGGCGGTCATTTTCCCGGTCATTATTTCTTGCTCGGGAAGGTATTGTTCAAGCAGAAGCGATTTAAAGAGGCCGAAGAGATGTTCCGGAAAGAGTTAGACCTCCGCTATATCCCAAGTTCTTGCGAAAAAGATCTAACCCCTCAAACGTTCACCGAAGACGGCATGCTTTATTATGAGTGGCTTGGCCGTACACTCGCTCTACAAGGCAAGCATGCCGAGGCGGTAGTTTGCTTTCGCCACATGCTCGAATGGTCCCAGCAGATGCAAACTCTAGAGCACCCTGATGCGCTGAAAACATACGACGCCCTCGCGAAAAGTCTTGAGTGTCTGGGTGAATATGAAGAGGCGGAAGGTTTACACAAGCACTGTGTTGAGATCTGTGAGAGGGAATGCTCGCACGACCACGACTTGCTATCGGGCTATTTAGTGGATCTTATCAAAAATTTAAGATCCCAAGGCAAGAGAGGGCAAGAAGAGTATCAAAAGTTTGAAGATCGACTGTCCCAGCTGGGGTATGAGCTCGTCTTCTCGGACGATGATGACTCTTGTAAAGAGTTGGATAGTGGCGGCAAACCCTCCTCCGACGGAAACCAATCAGGGAGTGAAGAGGACCATTCGCAGGAGCATCGTTCAGAAGAGTTGCAGGTCGAGAGCACATCAAAACCAGTTGATCCAACTACAATGGCTACAAGCATAACCGTCCTGGCTCACGATTATGGTACTATGAACTTGACTAGCCAAAACGACGAGCGACATCATCAGGGACATGTTGGGAAATCCGACAAACCGCTGCTAAACCACGACGACAGCACACCAACGGAGCGTGACAGGCAACTAGAAGAATCTGGTGTTGAGATACCTGTTGTTGAGACTCAAGCAGAAAGCCATGAGGGAAACCCACTGACATCCACATCGGCTATGCAAGAGCAATGCATAGAAATGCCAACCCAATGGATCCAAGTGGAGCAAGGACAAGGGAGTCAAATTAGGGACGAGCCAGAGGATATGCAAATCCAAGTCATATCCGAGACATTGGAATCAGCAGCAAGGAAAAGGAAAAGGGCGGACACCAGAGATTCGGTCATCACGAATGGTAGCATGTCCACAGAGCAGCCAAGCCGGAAGGTTGCGCGAACGGAATGATGACATCCTCGAGATGGCTGAGCGCGCCCAAGCGAAGCGTTCACACATCATCCGACGCGCTGGAGCAAAGCTGGGTCTGTGGTCACGACGTGGTATGCCTAGCGACGGAGTGACCGCCTGCTGCCCGGCATTGCTCGACTGGCTGCCCCGCTCGTCAGGCAGAGAAGCGCAGCTGGCATCTGACTGCATCAAGTTCCCCAAATCCTGGGAAAGCCCGGTCGCCTCGGAAAGCGGTGGGACATCAAAGTTCAACTCCGACGGCAACTGATTGATGGCAGAACAGATGTTCTCGACGGCTCACCTTATTGCCATAGGCAACCGGGCTTGGAGTATTTCCGGAGAGCGGGCCAGTCACGGGGGATTATGAGTGAAGGTGAAGGCCACCCTTTCATCCCAACTATCCAAGACGTGGTGAATGGCGGTAGGCAACTGGGCGGGACTGGACCGGAGTCGACACTATTACCTACTGTGTAGCCTCAACCGCCATCTCCCCGCTGAATACCTTATTATCCTGTTAGTGAATTGGAAGGAAGAGACTGGAGTAAGCAAGTGGGCATAGAAACTTGAAGCCAAAAAACGACGTATATTTCGTGTTCTCGCAATATATGTCGTTTGAACGCACACCAGGAATTGCCATCAAAAAATCATACCTTAAGAAAACCAGACAAACAAACAAAACAAATATAATCCCAAAAAAAAAAAAAAAAAAAAAAAAAAAACCTGCTCCTCCCCTCCGTTTCTGAGGTTTTCCTTTCTCGCAAAACATCGCAGACCGCTCGCTCACTCAGACCCATCCTCCACTCCTTCCATTCTTCTCGCCAATGCCCTCTCCTTCGCCTTCATTTCAGCCTTCCGAATCCTCTTCTGAACCTTCTTAATTTTCAGATCTATCTTCTCGGCTTTTGTGAAGTAGTGATCTGCATCCCTCTTTAGATAATCCAACTTTGCTTCAAGCCGCTTGAGATTTCGCGCTAGCTTGGCGGCTTTCCTGTCATCTCTGTTGTTGTTGTTGTTGTTGTTGTCGTTGTTGTTGAGAGTGGCGGTGACGATGGTATAGGATGTGGAGGAGATGTCCGCTGTCGCTTTGCGTCTGGGTCTGGGTCTCCCTCGAGTGCGTGTCCGGTTGGGTGCTTGCGCTTGCGACCTCTGCTCTGGACAGGCGCCGGTTGTTCCTATGAATCCCATGACCCAACTTAGTTTGTGAACCATAAAATACAACGGATAGAGGGCATACTTGTGGGGTCGGCGTCTCGCTGGGTGTAGTTGGACGTAGGCGATTGTGCGGCCGGATGCCCTGGGGTCGATTTCCTGCAAGAAGCTTAGCCAGGACTGGTATCACGGGGCGAGAAGGCACCGTTGGGGGTATGGTAAGATATGTGTTGTTATGCGAAGGAGAGAAAAGGAGGATGTGCGTGGAGGACTGGCTATATGGGCAAGAGCCCAGACAAGCCAGTCCGTGTGCGCGGACGTGCAGTGCGACAATATCACAGGCTAACCCGGTGACAACTGGGCAGTCACGGGTCAATCCCGTAGCATCTGGACCGCACAGGCACCTGCAAAAGGAGAGTCAAAGGATGGAATAGTCGTGCTTCGTAGTAATGGAATAAGTCATCTTGACAACAGTAGAAGGTACTAGAATTTACAAAAATTCTAAATTTGCCTATCCTCCCAGACCCTTCTGGTGGCACGCTAGAAAAAAGAAATAGAGAGACAGGAATTAAGAATGACATGGAATACATTATATATCATACGAGAAACTAATAAACCAAACTAGTCCTGATACGGTGCCGATAGATATCATCCGTCCCTGGACATCACATTCAAACGGTCGATAATTCGGTGGCAGCCAGAGTACGTTCTGGCCGTTGCAAGTAATCCAAGACCTATCCTGTCCCAAGCCATAGCCATGGCTCTCTAAATTATCTAGTACAACTTGGCTTTCAGTAGTTCCTGTAACTATTTTAATACGTCCAACGTTGGTATGTAGGTAGCGATTGGTAGGGTCAAACGAGATATCGGTTATTAGAGTACTCATAGGAATCGTCTGGAGGCATCTCCCCGACGCCGCATCCCAGATCTTGATCGTGTCGTCCCTTGAACCGGACGCAAGCCGCTGGCCATCAGGCGAGAATGCCACTGAGCGAACGTAGGAGCTATGGCCTTTTAGGGTCTGGAGGCAGCTCCCCGACACCGGATCCCAGATCTTGATCGTTTTGTCCCACGAACCGGACGCAAGCCGCTGGCCATCAGGCGAGAATGCCACTGAGCTAACGGAGTAGCTATGGCCTTTTAGGGTCTGGAGGCAGCTCCCCGATGCCGGATCCCAGATCTTGATTGTTTTGTCATACGAACCGGACGCAAGCCGCTGGCCATCAGGCGAGAATGCCACTGAGCGAACGTCCAGGCTATGGCCTTCTAGGGTCTGGAGGCAGCTCCCCGACGCCGGATCCCAGATCTTGATCGTGTTGCCCTCCGAACCGGACGCAAGCCGCTGGCCATCAGGCGAGAATGCCACTGAGCGAACGTCGTCGCTATGGCCTTCTAGGGTCTGGAGGCAGCTCCCCGACACCGGATCCCAGATCTTGATCGTGTTGTCCTCCGAACCGGACGCAAGCCGCTGGCCATCAGGCGAGAATGCCACTGAGAGAACGGGGTAGCTATGGCCTTCTAGGGTCTGGAGGCAGCTCCCCGACGCCGGATCCCAGATCTTGATCGTGTTGTCCTCTGAACCGGACGCAAGCCGCTGGCCATCAGGCGAGAATGCCACTGAGCTAACGGAGTCGCTATGGCCTTCTAGGGTCTGGAGGCAGCTCCCCGACACCGGATCCCAGATCTTGATCGTGTTGTCCTCCGAACCGGACGCAAGCCGCTGGCCATCAGGCGAGAATGCCACTGAGCGAACGTCGTAGCTATGGCCTTCTAGGGTCTGGAGGCAGCTCCCCGACACCGGATCCCAGATCTTGATCGTTTTGTCCCACGAACCGGACGCAAGCCGCTGGCCATCAGGCGAGAATGCCACTGAGCTAACGGAGTAGCTATGGCCTTTTAGGGTCTGGAGGCAGCTCCCCGATGCCGGATCCCAGATCTTGATCGTTTTGTCCCACGAACCGGACGCAAGCCGCTGGCCATCAGGCGAGAATGCCACTGAGAGAACGGGGTAGCTATGGCCTTTTAGGGTCTGGAGGCAGCTCCCCGACACCGGATCCCAGATCTTGATCGTTTTGTCCCACGAACCGGACGCAAGCCGCTGGCCATCAGGCGAGAATACCACTGAGCGAACGTCGTCGCTATGGCCTTCTAGGGTCTGGAGGCAGCTCCCCGATGCCGGATCCCAGATCTTGATCGTCATGTCCTCTGAACCGGACGCAAGCCGCTGGCCATCAGGCGAGAATGCCACTGAGCTAACGGGGTAGCTATGGCCTTTTAGGGTCTGGAGGCAGCTCCCCGATGCCGGATCCCAGATCTTGATCGTTTTGTCCCCCGAACCGGACGCAAGCCGCTGGCCATCAGGCGAGAATGCCACTGAGCGAACGGGGTAGCTATGGCCTTCTAGGGTCTGGAGGCATGCATTCCAATCCAATTCCACAGCCGGCTTAGTTCGAATCCATTTAGGTTCTTCTGCCCTGAAATTCCTCCTTATCAAGCTACCGCTTGGAGCAAATACAAGCGGTGATATGTATGTTTGAAGGGGAGCTTGCTCTATTATTGACTTATAAGATAGAGCAAACCGGTAAGCATCCCAAACAAGCTTTGATAACTGCGATTGATTATTACCTCCCTATATCTTTAGTTAGACCAAGTTCCTAGTGCGGAGTTAGACTTGTACTTACTAGCAGGCCCTCGAGCTTTCTAATGGCAACAACGCCCACAGGCATAGCTTGGAGTAGACTTAGAGCTTCCAGCCAGTAAAGGTACTTCGTCTTGAGGAATGTATAGACAACTCCGTTATCCTGTAAACGATCATGCCGTTTTGTGTTCGTGCCAGAAACCGAGTCACACAAGTGATCAACCCAGTAGACGCACGAGTACCGCACCGTCGCTAGCGGGTCCGGATCCGGTACTTGGACCTTGTCGCTCGGAAATCCCGGTGCGCCTAAGTCGTATATATCGCGTCGCAATACTGTAGACATGGCTTTAAGTGACCTCAAGAAGATGGTATAATTCACATCTTCTTTCCTAGAAGGAAAGGTCCAGTTCTCCTGAGAAGCTTGGTTACTAGCTTTATCAGAAGCATTGCCCAATAGAAAGTCCTTGGCTGATTGGTGGACAAAATAAACAGTCTGGTCTCGAAGAGTCAAAAACGAGCCGCAAAGCCCTATAAGCTCTTCCAAGCACTGCGGATCATCTGAGATATCGCCTGACATCTCGACGAGAGTGGTCAGTTCTTGAAGGCTGATGGGTCGGCGAACGATACAGGAGACGGCAAGAATTTGCCTGCACAAATCCGCATAATCGGACTGAATAATCTGCTCCATCATCCGCGCATATAGGGAATCCAACCCGGGGGGGAATGCCCGTAACTTTGTTAGTGTCTGCCACTTCCGAACGCTCGGGTCCGCAAGTACTTGGCAGACCAAGGCCACCCAGAGAAAAGTCCCATTCGCGTTAGAAGAGAGATAGTCATGTACCTCCGTCTGCATTGTGCTGTTGTACCGTTTCTGCCGCGACAAGTGAAGGACTTTATGGCGGATATATGCACTGACGGCAGTGGTGACGGATTCGGCGTTTAGCTCGAGGCTGAGTCTGGACTGCTGCGCGACGATCGCCAACTGTTCTTCGATCTGCACCTCGTTGCGACTAGATACAAGCCACTTGACACGAGCAGACACAGATGATATCTGGATGATCAACTGAAGAAGCTGCGGTTGGTCTGTCACACATTCGTCCAGAGCATCAATCACCAGATAGGTGACCTTCAAGTTCGGGTCTTCTAGCATCTCGCATAAAACCTTAGACAGGACGATCCATGCCATTGCGTCATCGGAAGGGTATGTGTTCTCCGGTAGATGTGAGAGCAGGCGTGGTTGCCGGTGGGCAAGTAGGTAGATTAAGCCTCGTAGCACGGCAGTTGCGTTATTGATGTGCGAGTCGGTAGCTTGGCAGAAGAAATACGCCAAGTTGCCGCCGTCAGCGATAACACGCCGCTCTAGTTCGTCGATGATACCGCATAGCAACATGGTCTTGCCTTTGCCTGGATCTCCCTTGATCCAGAGCAGGCGACTCTCCCGCAGCTGGCGCCATCGGTTGAAGTCGGGATTGTCGAAGACCCAGCGGTAAGCATCAGCCAGCAGACCACCCTTCGCCAGCTCGATCCGCTCCTTTTCGACGTGCGGGTCACGCGGGTCTGTGGGCCACAATTTTGCCAGACAGAGGTAATCCTCGTGAACCTTGTCCTGCAGCCGCTTCAATGCTTTCTGCCTTCCTTCGCCGTAGAGAACCGGCATGTGCACATCGAAGATGCCGAATAGAGAGTACACCTTGTCTTCCGGGTATTTTGTGTCACGCTTCTCGATCCATCGCATCCGTTCGGCGACGCTGAAATCAGATAGAGGGACACCTTGGAAGGCTTTTCGCGGAATTCCGGTTATATCGTGGATTTCTTGTTCCAGAGACTCCTTATCTCCCAGGCGCTCGCCCTCTTTAGAGAAGAATTCGACGATCGTTGGGGCAATGAGCTCTTGGAGGGTCCATCCTCGGGAAAACCATCTACTCTTTCGAAAGGCCGGTTGCCAACCGGGGCCGTCACCGTGTTGATGGGTTGAGACGTCTGCCAAGTACACGTAACATTTCACCGCGCTGCGGTACCAATAGAACATGGAGTTGAGAGCGTGCTGAAGCTCGGCACTGTCAGACTTGTCGATGCAGCATGTGTCGACCCAGAAGAATTTCAACCCATCGCGCCAGGCTTGGTCTCCGCAAAAACGAATCTTAGCGTAGCCTGCTTTGTTCTTGCCTGTACCGTCCGTCATGTCTTTGAAGAGGACCTCTTCGGGACCCCATGTGTGTGAAAGTATCGCATACGGTGGAATCTTGTTGTTGGGGAGGTCCTCCGTCAGACGGACCCCGCCGGTATCGTCACGCTCCAGGAGTCGCATTTCAGAGTCCGCTAGGCTCAGCTCCCTCGGCAGCTACTCATACAAATGTTTGATGGTGGGAAAAGGCTCGCAGGCTTCGCGAGCGGACGGCTTATGTTCGCGGGACTGTAGGTATAGTAAATCAGCAGTTGAAACTGGGGGAGTTGCTCGACAGACGAGAACTACTTACCATAAGTAACGGACAAAATTCGTAGCGTATGTCTCGGTGGGTTTGATTGGGAGCCTTGAAGGTGGTTGCTGTTGTTGTCTTTGTTTCAAGGCGCTGCCTTTGCCTGGATCACCAATCCCGCAGGACTCACTCAGACTTCCACCATACCCGACGCGAACTGAGTAGAGGTATCGGGCACAGCCTCTTCGGTACAACCTCTTCGACACAGCTGTCTTGCAAGCAGAAGACTCGCCAATATCGCGTTGGGTACATGGTTGGGCATAGATGACTGAGAGGCCCAGGGCGCCAAGCCCGGAAAGGAAAGGTGTTGGTCAGCCTTTACTGTAATGAAGAGTTGCTCTGAGTGGATGGGTAAAGAGGAGAAGGCAATGCATTGGGAAGATGGTCTTGATTGGATGCTTGCTCGCTCTGATGCCCTCCACATCACGTGGTTGAAAGTCACGGTGAGCTTCAGGGAAGAAGGTACATTCAGGAACGGTGAGGTGAGGAAAGGAAGGTGTGAGCGTAGACGAACTTTCCGAATGTGAAGCCTCAAAACGAAATCCCAATATTAACACAGCGGGTTAGGGTTACCGGCGAGCACCGCCGTCACCTTGTTTCGCAGCCCTGGCATGCAGCTCTCTCAGCCAATCGATTCGTCTACAAAGGTGTTGGCGGCAGCGCCGGCAGTGTGTTGCAAGCCAACCGCTATGGTTATGACATGCCAGGATGGAAGGGAAGAGGTAGGCTGATGCAGGCAGATGAAGGTAGGTTAAGGTAGGTATATGAAGGAGGTCCATCGTGATCCAACAAGACAAGAGCGAGAGACTCCCTTGCCACGCTCTCATCTGCGTACACATAACTGGGCCGAGGAGTACGAAGAACCAATCAGGAATGGTCTTCTGACCGAGTGCAATCTTGGTGTTACCCGTGTAAAAGATCTAGAAGCAGTGTCAGGACGGTCTACTTTGCTCATAATCCGCCCAATTATATCAATCATTTTAGCGCCGGCTCCCCACTCACTGTAATGCCTCCGTCCGAACGATATAGATATGGGAGGAGGTTGTTCAATTTTTTGACCCTACCACGTGATTAAAAGACCCGGTTCATATCCTTCCAACTCCCATACATAAGCTGCCCCTCACTGGCTTATCTATGGGAGAGCGGACGGGATCCCGAGTTTTCCAGTGGGTATGGTCGTATGTGCTTTGATGGTCTGGTTTAGCAGGTTATAACGGTGGATGCGCGCCAGCGTCGGGAGGGACATGACGGATGATGGTGTTGGCGGTGGTGTTCGCAATGATGAATAGGTGAGGTTGTGTGTGTGCTAGACGACCTCCCCAACATGGCCTGCAAGCAAACGACGGTAAATATGCAGGGAGCAGGAACCAAGCAAGGTAGATAGATGCAAACCGTGATATTCCAGATATCTATAAGCATCTATGTTCAGGTAACGCTCCTATTTACGTCCCCGTGAGCGCACCCAAGTTCCCAAGGACCAAGTGCCCATATCTATTACTCTGCCTCTAATCCCCTCACCAACCACGGCACTGACCTCCCCATACCCCCAACCCTTAATCACCGACTCACCCTCCCCCTTTCTCCAGTTAAGAAAAGATGCAAAAAAAACTTCATAGCATAAACTCATAACAACATCGTACCCCGCCCCGATAAAAGCCCCAACCCATGCCACAAACCAGATAAACTCCTGTTTCTGTTTTTGCTTTTCCCCAGTAGAAAGATATAACGACAGCAATGACCTAAGCCAGAAAGAAAGGAAAAAGGGTAAAAATACAAGATGATGTATGTAAAAAGAGGTGATTAGAGATGGGATATGTACGTGGGTCTCCTGGACAAAAGCAGGAAACAAGAAGGAGAAAAGAAAAAGAGAAGGAAACAAGAAGGAGAAAAGAAAAAGAGGAGGAAAGGAAGAATGAAAAATGCGCTGCGTATGAAGATAAGGTGAAGAGCAGAAAAGGTAGGGAAGTAAAAGGGGAGTATGTCCGTGAACAGCCCACTTGAGCATACTGGGCCTGAGCCCTTCAGTCTTGTCTGTCTATATGAGTGCAGATGGTGAGTTAAAGACGGATGATTTGAAGCACTTATTTACCCACATCCCATTCCAGAGATGATAGCCATGGCCTGCTCTTGTGCAACTCAATTCCCACCCTTCCTCAAACTCCCGACCCTACCGAGATTCGCAAACCACCTCCTCTTCCCACCACCCGCACTCTCCCTCCGTCCACCCTGACTCTGCGGCGGCCCGTCACCAGACCCAACCGACTTCGAAAAGGGATTCTGGAAGTTCGGCAGAACACCACCACCTTCCTCACCGAGACTAGCACCACCACTGGTAACCGGCCTCTGAGGGGACTCCGTCGAATTCCTCTCATCCCTACAATCCCCAAACGAAGAAGGACAAAGCGAGACTCCTCCCGCTTCCTCATCAGCTCTATCAACTCTATCAGCAGCTGCTTCAGTCCTCCTCGTCGGTCTAATCCGTCCTATGGGGGGAGGCGTAGCGCCCGAATGGTCATCGTCGGCGGCCATTTCGGAGGGCAGCCTTTCGGAGTTACGTCTACCCCATGAAGGGGGTCCGAAATCAGACGGAGGATCCCTGGCAGAAAGAGAGAAGGACGCAGAAGCGGGAGAGGGGATGGGGATGGAACTGTGGGCTTGGGAAGAGAAAGGTTCAACCGAGCCGGTCGATCTCCTAAATAGACTGTTGAACTTTGAGCGAGCAGGTTGTGAGGCTGTAGGCGGGTAGCGCCGTTTGGAGGACTTTTCCTTTTCTTCTTTTGGTGGGGGGTTGAAGAGAGTCTTGGGCGGGACAGTGGCTGCTCGGTTGTCAACACCAAAGGACAGGTCTGACGATGGGCGGGCGTCGCTTCGTTGACCAATGCTGTGGCTACGGATTGTCGTCATGGTCGTTCGTGGGGAGTCCACGTTGCTCTTCCTTCCTCGGGGATCCTTCAACGGAGTCTGGAATTGCCGAACAGTGGGCGAGGCCGGTAAACTGCTAGCTGAGCCTGACAATGACCCATCCAAGCCCGGGATACGGTGGCCCATTCCGGTTGTTGCCCTGAGGCTTGACCCGCGTTCCGGCGGCGGCGGCGCCATATTCCTGACCTCATGCAGCTTCGCAAAGCCTGAGCCAAAGATTGGTGTAGGAAGTGAGTCGCCCATGTAGCTCCGGCCGCCAAATGCCGAGTCGGCATTCGAGCTCCCACTAGCTACTCGTACGCCGCCCGCACAGTTGTACCCTGTTCCGTCGAGCTTTCCGTAAATCGCATCTGACATCCAACCGTGTGATCCAGTAGGGAATGAGAACAAGTCCGGCGACACTCGGCCATGATCCGGTTCGCGACCGCCGACCTGAGACACCGAGCTCAGAGGATCCAATGGCGGTACTATTTTGTTCGGCTTTTGACTCTCCCTTAGCCACAGATCAATACTCGACGCAAAAGACTGTCTCCTCCCATCCGCCACGTCGTCGTCATCCTCCTCACTCGACCAGCTCTTGCGGCCTCCATGCTCTTCCGATCGCCGAACATCACTAGCAGAAGGCGGGCGTTCCGATTCCGACGTCATGTAACAAGGGTCCAACATCGCTCCTTCACTCTCGAGATCCCGGAGACTGTTGAAGGCCGTGATGGATGCCGGCTGGCCCTGTCGTCGTCGCGGCACTTGAAGATGATCCTGATCCTCATCATCTTCCGAGTGCACCGAGGCTGTCTCCCCCGAGGTAGAGGAATTGGCCGGCCGGTTGTCCGAACTTTGTCCCTTTGACAGTGAGTCATCTAATATTTGAAAGACGCGCAGGGTCGAAGTTGAAATGGTGTCGGGGGTGGGTGGAAGACCACTATGCACGCGAGGGAAGTCTCTTACCGAAGACCCATGCGTATATACGTTTTGTAGAGAGGACCTGTTTGTTCTCCGGGAGGTAGAGTCTGTTTGTGACTTGACCGATGCTGCCCCGGTCTCCTGATCAAGGTTGTGCCTTGAACTAAACTTGTCTACCAAGGAGGCAGTCCTGGGTTCATCTGACACTTGATCGGCTGCCTTGTCGATGCCAAGACCAAGCTGGCTCTTGCGGAACGGGCTTGACCTGCTTGTCGCTATCGGCGACGGTGGACGACGGCGGGACTTTGTCGGAGTATCCCCGGGCATTGGCGAGTTTCGGTTTGACATGGAAGTCAGGCGCTCTTCAGCCCCATCCACGTGCGGTGGGCTCTGGGGACGGGGTGAAGGGATGGCCTTGTTCTGGCCGTAGATGCTTAAGAAGGAACTCTCGCTGAGAAGACTTAATGCTGGGCTACCAACCTTGATGAACTCGCTCCGATTTGTTTCTGGCGATTCCTCCTCCGACAACCGACCCAAGCCCAGTTCGCTAGCTCGCGGTCTAAGGTAGACGTTTCGAAGGTTTTCGGTGTTCTCCGTTGGCTCCGTAAGGAAACTCGGCATGCGATGAAGGACCTTTTGCTCGCCGGCCCTGGGGGTATCCGGTGTTTCGTTCCTTGAAGGGATAGAATGCGAGGCGTCGTGGTCCGAGCTGTAGAATCCTTCCGCCTCGACTTGCCTAACCATTTCCCGCTCCTTGAGCAGATTCTCTATCCGTGACTCAAGAGTAACGATCATAGCCACAGCTTCCTCAACGGCCTTGTCCTTCTTCTCCAGCTCTTCCAGCAAGACGTCATTGATGTCCTGTGTCTCCCTTTGTTCACTCCTCAACTGCTCTTTCTCCAGCTCCAGCTTCTCTATTAGCTCCTCCAAAGCCGTCTGCTTCTCGCGCCGATGGAAGAGTTCCAGTTTGAGGTCAAAATTTTGTTTGTGTAGCTTGGACAAGAGATCTTGGGCATCCTTCATGCATGGCGCCTGGTGTTCCTTTTTCTTGGCACTGATTTCCGAAGCAATGGTCGGTGGCAAGGGCCGCGTTGTTGATTTCGTTGGCGAGGCGATCGGATTGGTAAAGCCGGCAGAAGTCTTGGGCCTCTCGATGGGCTGTTTCCCGGAAGCTCGTTCGGCCTCCATCTTTCGTGTTCGTTCGATCCGTTCTTGCAAATACTCTGACATGGGGGGCAAGGCCAGGATGTCAGCGCGATCAAGGGAGAAGTGGGCTTTATGTTGCTTGGAAGAGCTCGGCGGACGGGAGGATCGGGAGCGGTCGTGGGGTGGTTGCGCATGTGTCTGGTTGTTGCTATTGGTGTTGCTGGTTCGGGTACGTGTCGAACTGGCGCTCATGCTTTCCCTGGAAGCAGGTCGCAAGCCGGAAAGGGGGCGGATGGGGCGGCCGTGGGAACGAGTGTCTATGGAGGAGGCCATGGTGGGTGGCCTGGTGGACAAACGGCGCCGTCGGTGGGGCGACCATACGACGCGGTACCGACGTCGACAACCAGGTGACGAGCCAACGATATCCTCGCCGTGTTTCTCAAATGTCTTGGTTCCGAAACTGTCGGCCGTCGCAAAAGTGACAGTTGTGTCAGGATGATGCCTGCTCGAGGGTGATCGTATATGTCGTCGGCGTCCGGGCGTTGAAGGTCAAAGCGCGGTTCGAGACAATAAGTTAAAAGGACGGAAGGCCGCCTTGCATCAACAGGTTGGTTGTGTCATGTAGTACGGTTCGGGGTGATGTGCCGGTTCGGGTGTCGTGGAGCACCGGGGTACGGCAGGCGGAAGATGCGAACGACGGGAGAAGTCGAGAAAGAGGAACGGACGGGACCCGGAGAAGGGGGAGAAGCACAACTGAATGCAGCTTTCCGAGCTCGACGTTTGCCTTGTCTCGAACTGTCGCAATTTCGGGCGATTAATCGTTTCTTTTTTGTTTATAGAATGCGCGAATAGGATAGGGTGGCCAATTGGGCTTTGTTGTTTTAGGGGGAGCTTGTTTCTTTTTTTCGATGTCTCGGACGTCCAATTGGCGATGAGGAGGGATGATGCGTCGGTGCGACTATTTACTTTTCATCCAAGCCTAGGCAAAGTCGAGAATGGTCTGTTGTGTTCTTCGTTGTTGTCGAAAAAGTCACAACACCCACTGACTGACTGACTGCTGGCCGCGAGGTGTGGTCGAGATGAAAAACGTCGTGGAGGGGATGACGACGACGGATGGAATGCGGAAAAAAAAGGGGACAAATTCCCAAAAGGTTCTCGAAAGTGGATGCCTCTGAATGGGTGTGGAGCGGGCGGTCGGGGATGCAGGTTCGAGTGCGCCATGTTTTGGTCCTGCAGCAGCGCACTTCTTGGTGTCTATTCCCTGGATTCTGGTTGGTCATGAGCGGGGTGATGGAGGGTGACGAGCAGTGACAGGCGCGGGCAATGCAATGACGGACAGTACTGTGAAGCTGCTGTGGACCTCTGCTGTGCTGCCCCATTCCCACACTCAAGCGCCTTGTCAGTCTTGGCGCGCTAGTTGTGTTGAGCTGGCCACAACACCGACTTGAATATAGATTTGACAGATTGACCAGATTTAACCGTCTTAATCAACGCAAATCAACTGCATCGCATCGTAAATTATCAAAATCTGCACTAAAAAACCAATATTTTAATACTAATATATTAGCTATCGTTTTATTTAATATTTTTATTATCTTTACTATTATTATAGCTATATAATATAGTAAATTTTCCTAATTCGAACTAATAAACTATCGTAAATTTAATACTCTATAACGACGAGCCTATTAAAAGTATCTCTATAACTACTAGCGTTTATGAATGTACAATATATCGATATAAATGCAACTTTAATATTACTAGTAAACTAATACTACCCTCTCGAACGTCCTAAAATTCTAGAAAACTCCCTATATAGGCTATAGAGGTATACTCGTAACTATAGTAACCGTTCGTAATTACTATACTATAATTAATATTGTAAAGGAGGTTATAAAGTTATTAATATTAAAGCTATCCCTATATTTTGATAAAATCTATACCTTCTTAGCTAACAAATACGACGTATATGTATTAATTGAAACCGAACGGCGCTATCTATACTAAGAACGCTAGAAGAAAAAGAGGCTAGCGTTCAAAGCGGTATAATAAGAGCCTAAACTAATAGTAGAGTAGATAATAAAAATATTATTATTTACTATAAAAATATTCGTTTTTTGTAATAATTTAATATAAATTGACGCAATAGAATTTATTGTATTGGCTAGGCTCCTTGCAGTACTATTGTAATAATATCGAATCGCTTTAAGCGCGGTAAGTAATATTATATTCTTCTAACTATATTAGTTAATAGCGTATTCGAAATACTAATTTTTAAAGGATAGATAAATACTTTAAAGTTTATTGAATAATTGAGAAATCGACTCCTCCCTATGATAAATCCCTTTCCTAATCGTAATAATATTCTAGTAATAGATAACGCGAGCTGGTATCTACGTAATAAATTTTATTATACGTATATAGGTATAGGTATATTAATTTAATATTTACTGCTATATTCCCTAGAATTCAACCCAATCGAAGCGTACTTTAGCGATTTTAAGAAATATATAAAGCGGATATATAATAATAATGATAGGATAGTTGACAAAAATTTCCCTATTTTCCTCCGTTGAATTATTAAAAATATTGGGTATAGAGTATAATAGATCCGTAGCTACTTTAAAAACGCGAAATTAATTATAGAAAGTATTAATAATATCGATAAAATTTATATAATTCTATATACCAACTAATTAAAAGAATTTAAAAAGATTAGTAACGTTACTAGGCGAAGGTAAATAGGGAGGGTAATTAGGTAATACAGGAGTAATATATAATTTATATTATAATTTAGTACTAGAAATGCCAGAAATGCTAGAAGTGCTAAAAGTGCCAAAAGTGCCAGAAATACCAGAAATACTAAATGAAATGCCAGTATTTATTTATATAATAATGAAAAAAATGTATAAAAGAGCTAAAAATATGTAAAATCCCCCTTTATAACTAAAGTAATCCACTTCTTTTACTATATATTGATTCTTTATGATTCGTTTAATATATTTCCGCTAGTGGTCGTACTATCCGCTAAAGAAGTAAGTACTCTCGTAACGCTAAATTCGAAGGTGGTAATATCAGTCGGTCGTACTATGAAGCTGTACTAGGAATTTAATATATAATAATAATTAGCTAAATCTATTAATTAGAGGGTAAAGGGTATATTATAGAAATTATTTATTCGGGCGATTACTAACTACCCTTACTTAAGGAAAGTTTTAATACTACTCTTTAAGGAAGTATAAAATTCTATTGTAAAACCTAGCTTTATAAACTATTTGACTAACTAATTCCTAAATGCTATAATATCCGTAACGGGGGTATTTAGTCCTTTAAATACCTCCTACAATACGATTAGAGTTTGCAATACTTACGCTGCTACCGTAATTTTCCTAAAATAATATTCCCGGTAGAAGGTTTTAAAAAATTTAATAATAAATTCATTTAAGATATAATTATATAGTAGGGCCGGTAGTAGAGAGGAGGGAGTTAAAAGGGACCGTAGCTATATTAATTTATCTTCGTTAATAATAGAGGGTAGTATAATTAAGGGAAGTATTAAAAGTACGGCTAAGAATAAGATAAAAGGTACCCATACAAATATAATAAACGAAGGTAGAGGGTTACGTCTAGCCGCTAGGGTTTCGTAGTTAATAGAGTAACTATAAAATGTAATAATCTAATAATTAAACGGCGTATTTAAAGTGGCGTTTAGTATGGTTATTATAATGCCCAGTACTGGTATAGTAATAGTAAAAGTAGTTACAATAGAAGAAGGAGGAGGAAGCGGGAGAATTAAATAATAAAAATAACTACATAGAAAGTAATATATTAATCATCATAACGGTATAAGTATAGTTAGTATAGGGGGTAATATGGTACTAATAGCTTTTCTTCCCGTTTTAACGTTATTTATAAAAAATTATTAATAAATTCTATACTAGTATTACTATTACCGCTATTAATGTTATTAATAATATTAACGTATACCGGGAGTTTATTACCGCTACGTTTTCTACTATTCGAATTAATATTAGCCGTAGTAATTTCTACTATAATTATCTTTTAAATAATTAAAGTAAGGGAATTTCGTATAGTAATATACCTAATTGTAATAATACTTACCTATTTACCCGCGTTTTTAATAAAGAAATTATAATATATTTTACTATTATTAATGAAATAGTATATTTAATAGTTAACTCCCTTATCATAATTTTTATAATTATACCCAATATTAGACTTTTATATTTAAAAGAATTTATAGTACGTAATACTGTAGGATCTATACTCCTTATATACTTCTTACTCGTAGTTTTATTCGTTAAATTTATTAATTTCCTATCACAGGCATTACTGCCTTGTTCCTATATATAGGTGTACATGCATATGTGCTACATTAATACAGCTAGCTGAGTGCAGCTATTTAGCTGCAGTATATTTAGCTATCTCTTTTTTATTTTAATTATTCTAATCGCCGAAATAAGATATTTAGCACTTAGGTCCTTAGCGATAATTAAATTGACTTCGCTACAGTCTTTCCATTATTATTAGATAGCTTTAACGCTCTATTAACTATTTATAGTAATAACCCCAATTTAAGCTTGAGGGTCTTACTTAACTTCGCAATATAGGTACGTAGTTTCAAGAAAATTATAAAATTACTTTATTACTTTAATAAAAAAATTAACGAATTAAATAAAAGGTTATAGTTTAATAAAACCGGGCGCTCTAATTCGAATAGGAGGCCAAAGCTTATATCGAAAAAATCGAAATCGACGCTACGAAGGCAATTAAGAATATTAATACCTTCGAGGCTACAAAGAAATAATTCGTCAAATAATTTAACGCCCTATAAGCCTAATATAACCTAATTATTAACGACAATACTTTATTACAACTTAAAGTAGCTACTTTTGAATAAAATAAGACCTAATTCGATTACAACCTAGCGACTACAATTAGCGAAAAGGAGGGCGATTATTAGAACCTTTTAAATTTATTAAAAATAACCAATACAATTTTAAAAAATAACTGTACTTAATTAATTAAGGTATTAATTAAAATTATATTTATTAAAATTGTAGTAAAAATCTCCGGCGAAGAATTTATTATGGTTTAAGAATAAATTAAGGAGTTCTAAATTAACCTTCGTTTTATTAAAGAAAATAAGGTTATCGTTAAAGGAAAAGCCTAAATTAATACCGACGCAGCTAAGTTTAAAATTTCGGTTGAAAATAAAGATATAAGAACGAATTAGACTTATAATATTAACGGTTAAAATATTAATAGCGGCCCTAAAAAATTAAGTACGGGAAGTACCAGTATAGGCAACG